ACTTGTGCTCTGCATGCAGCCCAGTGCTAATTCTTGGAGGTTGTCCTCCGCATAGCTAGGCCTGCTCCGCCAGGACCTCAATCATGCCAACAAACAACAGTTGGGCAGCGTTTACTCCCGTAACTCCTCCTCCTCTGGTCCTGTCCAGTCTGGGTTCTGCTCTCCCTAGCAGGCTGATCAGCTTTCCCAGACTCTCCCCTCTCTTCAACTGAACAAATATATTGTTATTATGGTTAATCATGAAAATTGCATGTGAATGTGACACTCCTGCCCATGGGGAAAATTTTGAAGCAAACAAATTTTTCTCAACAATAGTGTTAAATAGAACTGGAAAAATGAAATCATTTTCAACATTTTGCCAAGACCCTTCAATCAAATGAACCCATGCCCCTTGCCATGGACGAAGTGTCACTGAATTTTTCACTTTTGCAATTTTTGAGTGTTGACCAGAAATTTTGTTAATTCCTTCCTTATCTTTTTGAGTATCACAAGTAACAAAAGTGAGGAATTTCCCCAGATTCTCCAACCGTGGTCACTTTCTTTGAAGAATTTCAGAGGAATTTCTCAAGATTCATTTCCTGTAACTGATTTCTTGGAAATTCTCAAGAAATTCCCCAGAATTGGTCCCCCAAAATGAGAAATTTTTGTGGGATCACAGTTTTGAGAAATTCCTGAGAAATTCTTCGTAATTTTTCCCCATAAAATTCCTCAGAATTTCACCAGAATACTTCTCCAGAAATTCCTGAGAAATTCTTAGGACTTGGTCACTATGTTTACGGATTTTTAGGGGAATTTATAAAAGGAATTAGTTTTGAGAAATTCCTGGGAATTTTACCATAAGAAAATCCTGAGAATTTCTCCTGATTACTTCTCTGAAAATTCCTGAGAAATTCTTAGGACTTGGTCACTATGTTTACAGATTTTCATCCCAAGAAATTCCTGAGAAATTCTCCTGAATGCTTCTCCGGAAATTCCTGAGAAATTCTTAGGATTTGGTGACCAAGTTATCGGATTTTTAGGGGAATTAAATAAGAGAATAAGTTTCTGGAAATACCTGAGAATGTTCAAGTTCTGTTTTTCTCCCATAGGTGTCTCTGAGGTTATCTTCTATTATGCACTGCTCTAACTAAATCTTTTTTTCTTTTCATCCTTATTGATAAAAAATGATAATTTACAAACCATGTTTTTAAAAAAATTACTTTAATTTTTTTTTCTTCAGTTTTTTATTCTTTCTTGACAATTCAGTTGTCTGAAAAAATAAAATACATGACAACTTCGTTAAGATCAAAAATGACTATAACATTCTATACTTCTAAAAAGTTGAAGGGGCAATATAGTTGTTAAGTTATTCACTACTGTAACAGTGGGCGAGTTTTGTTGATCTTTTACGATCAGCAATTCAAGGATTTTTTGGATCGCTGAGATCATAGCTACCAAGGGGAATCATGCCCCCTTCCCCCCCCCCCATTCTTTAACCCACGGTTGGACTTTAGAGTCCTATTTTGAATCCTAACGGATTTATTTGAGTTTGCATTTGGATTCTATAAATAACCCAAGCGACGCCGAATTTTCCGTTATCTTGAAGACCCAAGCGTTGGGGAGGGGGCGGAACAACCCCGGGGTAGCTAGGGTTAAATGCGATCCTAGGATAAAGCAAAATCGAAGGAGGAGAGTTAGTTGATCGTCAGCTCCCTTAAACTGAGGTTCCCTTGAAGAATTCCCCTATTTGATGAAACTGATTTGATTCATAATATTTAGTTTGTATAAGTATCGTTCGATTTAAAGTTTGTATTTTTGTATCTTTTGTATATAAATATATTGTAAGAAAAACCGACTCGTTGAATATTTGAGAAACTCAGTGCATTGCTTTATTGATTTTTATTCATATACAATACTACTATTGGGCCTAAGTCCTGGTTAGTGAATTTACTCAGGAATATGCTGAGAATATATCAAGATATTCCTGAGGGCCTCTTCAAAAAATCTTGGGAATAGTTCAAAGGAAAGTCCCAGGAATTAAAGAACTTTTCGCTGGAAATTCCCAAGAATTTCCACAAATTTTGTCGACATTTTATACGGTTTTTCTGCAGGATTGGTAACAAGAAATTACCTGGAATTGGTTACAAGAAATTCCCTGGAATTGGTTTTAAGAAATTCTTTGGATAGAGTTATGAGAATTTCCTCGGAATGGGTTACAAGAAATTTCTTGGACCTGGTTCCTATGAATGGGATGAGGAATTTATCGGAATAGCTGTCCACATTTTCACCACATTTTCCTGTGAAAGATTCATGGGGATTTCCGCAGATTCCCAGGAAAGATTCCTGGGAATTTCTGCGGATTTTCCGCAAAATTGTTACTTGGGTATTATTTAGATCTCTCTCCTAAACAAATATTACTTTTCTCTCAGTTCTTCTTTTTTACTATTTGATCAAATTTAAACATAAATATTAAATATTAAAATATACCAGGAATGTATTAAGAAATATATAATTATTGATAAAAGTAGTTTTCCTAATACAATAAACTTACTAACAAGTATTTATTTTAAAGGTGGCTGTTTGCATTGGCCATCTAACAAGGTAGTCAAACCTTTTAAACATTCAACTTTGTGAAAAAAATTGAAACAAAAAAAGCCACAGGCAGCTGTAGTACATTTGAATTTCCGAGTCGGGTCAATCTGGTCCCAGTTTGTACTGTACCTAGCTCTATGGACAGGGCTAGTCGGTGCAACAAGGTTGACATGGTCAGACTTTATGCTTCATTTAGGTTGAATTTACTTTTACTAAAGGGACAGAGGTGCGTGAAGCTGAGAAATATATGCAACAAAACGGATGAAGTAAAGTGTGTAATTGAAATAAAGTTAAAGTTGACTGTTTATAAAACAAAATGAAATTTAACATTTTTTTAAAACACATCAATAGTTATTTTTCAAAACATTTTTCCAATTCCATTTTTTGTGTTTCATTATATAAGAAAAAACATTATATTTCAAAACTAGATCATTTACATAGAAAACATCTGAAAAGTATTTTTAACAAATTTATTTGTTTTAAAAAAATTTTTAACAAAATTTTGAAAAACAATAAAAACCTAAAAATTTCACATTAGTTTTTTTGAAATTTGAAAGGACATTTTAAAATTAGAAATTAGTCCTGACATGTCAAAACTTAAAGTATTTGCTGTATGCACATTATATCCACATTATAACAATTTAATGAATTAACTATTTGTTTGAAATTAAGGACAAGCTTGCCTAATAGTAAAAGCATGAAAATTAGAAGTAAAAGGACAAGAACTTTTGTAACAATATGATGGCGGCATTATTAATTAAAACTTTACTGTTTGTTTAAGTTAAGGACAAGAACACCCAATAATAACAAACATAATGTAAATATAATTACTGGCAGGGGGTTCCAGGGATTTAAATGTTTCCTGAATTTTTCTGATGTTAGAATTATTTTAAATATGACAAGTTAAAAAATTTAATTAAGGTTTAAGATTATAAGAAGAACACCCCTGTCAAAAATATATTGATTTAAGTATGTACATTGTACATGATTACATACATACAGTCTTTAGTCATAACTTAACATTTCTTAAGATAAGATTATATGTACTTCAATGTATAAAAATAAAATTAGACTGCACCACCCAAAGTACCCATCCCCAACCTCTTCCCTTATAGAACGATCCCTAAGAGATTAGACAATTTTTTTAAAGAGCAAATGCAGACAAACATTTTATGCTACACTACACCATTTTTCTATTGCACCTTCAACACTTTTAACTTTGTAATGACATACATTAGCTCTAGAAGTACGTACTTTGAAAATATTGTTAATAAACCTGTATTCAGTTGTAAAATGTACTCTAGGACCTCTTTAACTGCATTTACTTATGAATAACTATTAAGAGTAAAGAAAAAGAAAAGGTTTTCAGTGAAGGATAAGTGAGACATAAAGAGATAAATTATGACCACTTTTATCAAATTATTGAAAAAGGAATGGTAAAAGTTAAGAAATATAAATAGTCTAAAGTTAAGGGGTATAATGGGTTAAAAAAATCTTTTGGAGACTTTAACCCTATCTCTGCTGGGGTACTTGAAAACCAGGATATGCTGGGGGGGAGGGTGAATTTAACCCCCCCCCCCTCTAAATCCCATGTTTGATGTCCAAATATGACAAATGATACATCATTGGAAAGCTCTTGTGCTCTACTTTTAGAATCTGCAAAAAAATTCGCAAATTTGAATAAATTGAATTTTTTATCGCAAAATCCAGTTATATAGTAAAAATGTTTGCAAAAAAAAAATTTGTCCAAAAAATGAAAAATTATACATTTTTGAAAAGCCCTTGACCATGCCATTTCAAATATGCAAAAAATTTTGCAAAATTTTAAATAACCTGATTTTAAATCAAGAAAAATTAAAAATGTGCAAATTTCCTTTGACAGGTTGTTTGCAAAAAATTTGCAATTTTTTTCGCAAAACTTGAGCAATTCGTTTTCTTATGTCAAAGGCATTCCAAAAAGCTAAATTTTATCAAAATCTGACCAGTGGTCAAAACAAAGTGGGTCAAAACAAAGATTTAGTTTGTTACAGGAAAAAGCAGTCATTCAGGCAGTGTGCCTGATGACTCTGGCAGTTAGTATTAAAGCCCAATTTTAGGCCTAACGGAAGGGCTTTGGGTATGTAGGAAAAGTCAGAAAATTTCAGCAGCCTCAGACCAATACTTTTTGAGTTATGTAAAAAAAAACTACGGGGGGGGGGGGCAAATTGACCCCCCCCCCCCCCAGCAGGATTAGGGTTAAGCAGGCCCACATTGCTTTCCGACCTTTTCAAAATCGTTCAGTTCTGTTCTAGAACAAGGGCCTTCAAAAATAATTTTTGTTTTTCTTTCTGAGAATTAAATAATTTTGGCTTCGGCTCTTCGAATTCTTCAGCACATAATAATTAGAAAAAGTTCGATTTTTTATATTTCAGAGATATAAAAAACTGACATTAGAAAAGTCATAGAACTGCTGACATAATTTCCAGTCACCCTTCATTTACAGTGTGGCATGAACGATTCACAATTGAACCCTTTTTAAACCTTTAGCTGAAAAACTATGAGCAAGATATTGCTTAATATGTGTTAAATTCTGACAATTTCCATTTTCTCCTTAATTCCTTTCATCATGTCCCATTCATAGAGAACAAAATTAAAAATAGTTTACATAAAAAGGGGGAACACAATAATTCTTCTTTCAGACAAAGTTTTAGAGAGTACCGTTGTAAATTGGAATCACACCTCTATGAATTAAAAGCCATTTGAAATATGTTTACAGGGCACAAGCACTTTTAGTTGTTGTCCTAAAAAAGATTGACAAGATCCATCTAAAACTGAAAGATAATTATTTTACCTGTGGATATGCAGTTTGCCCCTTGTCAAACAGAAGCATCAGGACATGTCTCTTCACTGGCGAGGAAGGCTGGCAATGAAATAATTTTCCTGGAATAGAAAAAAATTAAAAATGTAAATCTAAATTAAATACAAAAATAAATAAGAATTAGAGGATTTAAGTATTATGCATATTCCCCCCCCCCCGGGAAGTGGGGGAGGATGTTTTTTGATGATCTAGAAACAAAACATGAAAAATTGAAAACATCAAAAGGCAAGTTTTTTCTTCATTTTTATGTTTTCATCCAAAAATTATTTTCACTTATTTATTTTCCCAAATTCAGCAAATAAAACTCTTTACAAAATTTAACTTCCTTCCGGGAAAAAAATGCAGGGGGGAATGATTTTTAAAACAAATATACACCTCAGCTAGGATCCAGTTCTTGTCTTTGCAGGTCCCTTCACTAGGGCTGCAACCATATCCTCGTGCACAGATTTAGTTACTGATTCGTCAATTTCTAAGTATTTCATCTCAGACGTATTAAAAAGCAATTTTGGTAATTTCCTAGAGAACAATTTGTGGACCCCTCCCCATTCCCCCACGCCCCCCTCCCATCAATTTTGTACATAGGATATCTATAACATGGATATAATTGATCATGTGACCGCAGCGCCCAGCCCCCTAGCCTATCTTAGCCGTGGTGCTCAGCCCGTCGCCTGTCCTAACAGTAGCGCAATTTTTAAAAATCTTTTAATTTACCATTTTATAAATATTTACTTTAGTGAGCTTCCTTAAATATCAAACAATCATTTGTCTGCTAGACAAAACAACAAACTCCACTTGTCTTCGAGAAAGGTCTTGACCAATACCTCCTGAAGGGGGGGTGGTTTGATTTTAGATTTCAGAAGGGGAAGCCTGGAAATGGGACCAACACATGTTGATGAAATATGATATCCTCATAAAACTGAGTCTCAACTTAGGAGGTCTTGTAATGAGACCTCCTCAAGACACAGGGTGAAACAGGCTTAATTGGTGTTGGGGGAAGGAGTCTCAAGGAGGTCTTCACTTGCCTGAAGAAAGGGATAGGAAGCAGGATGCTCAAATATTTGCAAATATTTTAATGGATATTTCTCATGTTACAGAATATTTGGTGAAATTTAATATTTTTTGGAAAAAAGGGTGTCTTGAAGATGTCCTATACCTAGTTCCAGCAGGGTGTTTTCCAGCCCCGCCTCCCCCTTGGAGTTTGTTCCGTTCAGTTCAGTTTTTTTACTAATTGTTCCGATATATTTAAGAACGATGGGATCATTCTTGATAGTTCCCTTTGTCTCATAAAAGAACAATTTTTTTCCCCAGGAACGAGCCCAAGTCCTAGTTCCACACTAAAAAAAATAAAATAAGACATCACAAGTGCTGTACATCTCAAAAACTTATTCTTGACAGTAGCTTATCTTTGTTTAACTATAGAATGTTCTAACTATAAAAATGACAAAGAAGAGTAAATACAAGTCGCCTGGATTGCATGAGTTAAACAAGGAAACCAACTTAAGTTTAAATTACAGCTTTACAATGAAAAGTGATATAAACATTCACTCAAATATGTATATTCAAATAAACAAACATTTTTTTTTAAATTTATGTAGAATAAAAGCTCTTAAAATTAACAAAGAAAAACATGTTTTCATTATAGTTTCTTGTGAATTAAATAAATAATCATTTTTGAAATAAAGATTTATGGATAGCATTAAAGAGGATGATACTTGAATACAACATTTAAAAAACTAGTTGTTATGATTAGATTGTCAAGATCTTGTTTACCCTTGTCTGTATTGGAATAACCTGTAGGCAAGGTTATAATACAACAATCAAATATGCTAGAACACCAATGACAACCCGAGATCAGGAGATTCCTCTAAAAGGTTAATATGAATTAATATGATTGTTTCAAATTGAATTATTTTTCATTTACATTTTTCTGATTCAAATATTTGAATTAAGTCAGGGTTTCCATCAGATGTCAATTTTTAACATGGTTTAGGGTCATGAATTACTTTACATTAATATTAAGTACATGTTACTCCTAGGCTTGATATATATGTCACCTCATTATAATTAGTGTGTGACAGAAGTTTATAAAAAAGATAATGTAATCCATAGTTTCCAATTGCTACTAATGTGGTCTATTCTTGAACAAATTTATGATGAAAAGAAAGTGTAAAATGTGTTTTTCACTGTACAGTTTTAAAATGAAATGAATTGTTTAGATGCTGCACCAGATCTACAATTGTCTATCTGTAAAAGGTTGGACATGGTGAATCTTTTGGAAAATCTACCAGGAAATACATAATTAAGAACTTCCGGGACTATAGACATAATTTTAAGTAGGATCCAGAGATTTTAACATGACATTCTACTACTGCTTAATCATTTAGAATTACTTGTCTACACTACAGTCTCTTTATATAAATAATCAAAAATTGTCAAAACAAAATAATTTAATTAAAAATTTATTTAAAGGTGGTTGTTTGAACAGTTCCAGATCATATAAGGTAACTCATATGTGATTAAAAATAGTTAAATATAAATTCTAGATCATATTTTAGGAGACAATATGTGAAATGTTTAAAGACCAAATGGAATCATGTCTAGATCAGTTTCAAATGCAGACCTATGAAAGATTCAGGATATTGGATTTTATTTCGAAATTTGATGGAATACTTTCCAATGGTACAAAGTGGAAACCATTATTGAATTCATCTTCAGCACTGGACTTTAAGTAAAGTTATTTATAGTTTTCTTGGTGTGAAGATCCATAAAAGCCTAGTATTTTTATATTTTTTGGTTATATCTACTGAACACAAGAAATTTTAAATTTCAACTAATGAAATATTGTGTTTTTAGAATGAAATTATACCCATATGTTGACTATTACACTTTACTCTGTCATACATGGCTGCATGATATTACACAATTCTCAAGTCTCAGGATAAATCCTACTGTAAAGGAAGGTAAATAATAACTTTATATGTTTGAACAAACACAATAACTAAAAGTATGTAGCCAAGAGGACTCAGTCCTCAAATTGGGTAGGATTAGCTTTAAAAGTGCATCCCGATCAACACTGCAGCTCCCAGCTTATCAAGGCTTACAACTGACTTATCAAAATTAAAAATTCCAAAAACTTGATTAAACTTGTTCCAGTTCTCCTTTTTACTAGACATGTTTTACATAAAGGGTATCTTAAAAAAACAGGGAGTAAGGGTCTACAGATTACTTTTGCAAAAATACTTTCTGATACAATCTTTACTCAATGTACTCCAGGGACAAAATAATTGAACTCAACAGTTTTTGTACTTAACTTTCCATGGATCCTCCATAGAGATATGAAAATATTTCAACTCAAATTTGTCTTACTAAAATTTTTTTTGGAATCAGACATATTTACAAAATAAGAAATAAGAGAAAATAAATTTCTGCCAAAAACAGTGTAACAGTCATTTTACGTATTGATAAGTAATCTAATGCAGAACTTCAAACTTGCTTTAATAGTTTTACAACATTAAAACATGCACTATCTAGCACAGCTTTTACATTTATTTTGAGTGAAAACTTTCAATTGAATGCTCATTCTTATTAAGATTTAAATCAGCGATAGTTGTAAATTATATAAAACATTTGTTTGAAATAAATTGCAGATTTAAATGATTTAATCTGACAACATTTGCAATTTTTTATACATTTTTAATTGTCTTTAAAATGAAAACATGTAATGAAATTTCCTATTTTATTAGTAGTTTTTGATGGGCAAATCAAACAGCACTATCCAAGAGATACCAAAAGACAGGATACATGATACTGACTGGTGGGACTAGTAGTTCAAGGGATTCAGGGATACGGCTCTGGTCAGGGATTTTTGGTTCATGGTTAGGTTTGAATTCTTCGGGTTTATGCATAAGTTTAATTTCAATTCCATCTAACTGAGGAGTAGGGGAAGTAGAGAAACATATAATGGTAGGCCTTTCATTCAGAAGGGGCTGGTTTGTAATTTTCAGGGGTTTCTTTGGGTTTGCATCTTTAGGTGCAGTTGGCCCTGCTTCCTTCCAGGGAAGCCTTTGAGCTAACATGAGAGAAGAATTTGCTTCTATTCTGGTCTCCTTAGCATTTAATTTCAATTCCATCTAACTGAAGAGTAGGGGAAGTAGAGCAGCATGAAATGGTAGGCCTTACATCTAGAAGGCTGGTTTGTAATTTTCAGGGGTTTCTTTGGGTTCGTATTCTTTAGGTGCTTCTGGCCCTGCTTCCTTCCAGGGATGCCTTTGAGCTAATATCAGAGAAGAGTTTGCTTCTTTTCTGGTCTCCTTAGGGGAGCCCCCATCTTTCAGGGGGGTACTTGCATCATTTTTCAGATGGTACTCACATCCTTAAGGGGTGTACTTACATTCTTTAGAGGGGTACTTGCATCCTTCAGGGGCATACTCGCATTCTTCAAAGGGGTGCTCACATTCTTTAGGGGTGTACACACATTCCTTCACATGCTTATTTATAGGTAGGGAAGGATTGTTTTCACTTTTTGAAAAACAATAATTTTGTTTTAAAAATAAACTATTCAAAACATCTTTTCGGTAACAACTGTTTGCAATGGCTCTTGATAAAGTACCATTTATGACAACATTGTGTTAACCAACGACATTTTAAAGAGAAAATACATTTTTTGGTTGTAAAATCAGTCTCATTAAAATACATGTTTAAGACAACATTTATAACCTAAACTTTCTGGAATTTGTCAGGAATTTCTCTGGAGGGAGGGTGGGCGGGGGCTTTTTTCTCCTGACTGCGCTACTGTCCCAAGTAAATAAGATATGATAAAGGGTTTAGAAAACTCAACTAAAGCAGGGAAATCCATGGTAAGATGCAAGAAGAAAATATATGAAAAGCAACATCTTATAGCTTAAAAATAATTACAAGACATAGCAAAGCTCCAAGAAGTTTAGTTTGTTTAAATATAGAAAGTGAAGAAAATGTTCAACAAAAAATTACTTTTAATAGCAAACTTTCTAAATGTTCACCATTTCCTGAAGCCTTGATCTACTAATTAAATAATTTAAGATTCAAACATCTGCTTTATCATAAAACAAAATCCAACAAAACTAATACAAGAACCTGTTTGGAAAAATAAACTTATAGTGTAGAAGAGAACTGGAATGAGAAAATTATTAAATAAGAATAATTCTTTAAACAAATCAAAAATCATTAACAGCTTGTTATTGACTACTGACTAGCACCATGAACACTTACTAAGTTATCTTTCCTTAATGTTGTTCGTAGAATACAAATAAATAGACCAGGATTATGTACTCATTTAAACTACACAGACAAACACACATTTTAGCATGGGTCAGTTTCTACACTCTGTGTTTAAAATGAAGAGATATATACATATCAACCATATGCATATGTCTAGATGAAGTTTTTGTATATGTTCACAAAAGGAGACAACTTCTGTTGACAGATCTAAGAAATGAGCTGATCAAAATCGAAAATATTGACTACATTGTTGAAATAGAATTAGATGTTACTGTCAGTGAATTGATTTCAACACCTAGAACAGAATGTGCAGTGCAGGCTGAAACCTTTGATTATTGTGTAGAAAATATAATACAAATGGATCAATGTCTTCTCAACATTTGGAATCAACCCAGTGTAAGTTATAAGTCAGTATGCAAAAACTACTCTGGCATTTTAGAAGTCATGAACATGATCCAAACCAGTTCAAACAGATGTGTTGCTCCTTGTAAACAAGTTAAAGTAAAAATGTTATTTAACCCTGTAAACTGGCTCAATGTAATAAACAATCCAATAAAATCCAACACATTTACCCCCGGTTATGTCATTCGAATTCCATCATTTGTTCTGTATTCTGAAATGACTGAAAGTTATACTTTGATTTCCTTTATTGCTGAATTTGGTGGATGGGTCGGACTTTTTCTTGGTGTCTCAATACTTGGAGGCTTTGAATTTGTAGAGAACCAGCTTTGTAGTTCTATACATTTTAGATTTACAAAAAAATTTTTTTCAAAAAGTGGATTTATCTTAAAAATGGCATCCTCACTTGGAGTTCTTATCATAGTGGTTCAATGTGGATTCAAACTCATAAATACTGAAAAATCAACGGATGTTAAAATAGTTGAAAAGTTCAATAATGTCAGCATATCCCTATGTTCTGTTGAGAATATTTATCAAATACGCCCCAATGACACAAATCTTTATTATATGGGAAATTCCACTTCATTTTGGAATAATATAACACGGCTGAGTAACAATTTAGAAAGAATGGAATTTGTTTTGGAAAATGGAAATTCTGTCACTATCTATGATTCATCTTGGGATCATGGTTCTCAATATATTCAATATTCCATCAACACACCGAAGTTTGATACATTTATTGAGACTTGTCATACACTTGATCTGAAACACTGGAATAGAATCAAGAAAATGGAGGTTTTTGCAAAGAAAGAATTAACAATATATATTCATATAACAGGCCAGCTTCTTAGATCAGGAAGACAGGGGTTCAGTTTTATTAACAAAGATACAACCACTATATCTAATTTTGGGTAAGACACTTAGATGTAATCTATATATAAATTTGGCTTGTCTGTTTGTTTGTTTGTCTGTCTGTCTGTCTGTTTGTATCCAATAAACGTCAAAACGGCTGAAATAATCGGGCCCAAATTTTTTGTGGGACATCTAGGGACCCCAGGGAAGGTTTATGAAAAATCAAAATTTCAAATATTTGTCTCCCATCAAAATTCGATCGTCAATTTTTAAAAATTTTGAAAATCCGCGAAATTTTTTGTGAAAATCCGCGAATTATTTTTGTTTTGTTTTACGATGTACACAAAGAGAACATATGTTCACAACTAATTTAGAAGATGGGCGTGAAGCGCCCTCTAAGGCTAGTATATGATAAAAATATATTTGCTATACAATAAATTTTAAAATATTGTTATTTTTAGGAATTACTCTGGATATATTAAATATTCATCACATTTATTTCACCTTGATATTTTGGATGAAACAAGAATATTAGAAGATGGATATAATGAATATTACTCCTATGATGACTGTATTATAAAAAAGTTGTTAACAAAAGATCACATATCGGATATCTTAAAATCTGAGGAAAATAAGATAATTTCTGAAGGCATTGAAGAATCAATGTTTGAGCAAGTTTCTAAAAAGTTGGAAAATGTTAAAAAACTTGAAAATTGTAAAAAAACAAAGTTAAAGCTTCAGACAACTTTTACCCTTGTCAGCCTGGAGATTACTAATTTGTCTTACATTGGTTCAAATCAACCTTTTAGATTTGGTTTGGAATTTCCCCAATCAACACTGGTGAAGGAGGTAAACTGAAATTAAAATTAATTTTTCAGATTATCCATTAGGGCTAGGCAGTGTGTAAGGTTTTCATTACTACAATTTGGAAATTTTTTTGTAAGCCAGAATATTTCCAGTTTCCATTACTTATACTGGAAAATTATTTTGGTTTTCTACTTACTCTATGTACACCAGAATACATTTATGAACTTTAGAATGAAGTAATTTTAATCCAAATCGCTTAATCTGATTATCCAATGTACAAACTTTTGATTTTCTTCCCAATCCTCTCTTTTGGATACCCCTTTATGTATAAAGTTAGGTTTTGATAACAATTACAAATACGATACTGTTTCGATTAGACTTAAGTCAGCTAAATTCACAAGCCGGCTTTCAGACCATTTGAACAAATATAAATTTAATTATGTTTATATGAACTTTTAATAATCATTTATTCAAAACTTATTCCTTCAATCGATCATTAGTTAAATTGATATGACACCATCAACATCAGAAATGTGCTGAAATTTAAAACCTATTTTTCAAAAGACCGTATTAAATATGACACGCTGATTAATTGAATTATTAACTTCTTGTTGGCTGACGAATGCTTATTTACCTTATATTGGAAATCAGGAGATCAGGAGATCTAAGTGCTCTCATTGATTTAATTTTATTCATTCATTTCTGGAATTGTTTCTTGAAAATTTACAAATAATAAAATAAGTTAAAAAAATAAAATATTAAATACAAAATTATTTAGTTATTTGAGCACAATTGCTTTTTCCAATAATTTTCCCATTAAATTTTTTTTCAATTTTTACTCAAAATGGATAAACCTTTTGCAAAATTATTTTGTGTACACAATTTTTTTTGGAAACCCTGGTTGTAAAGAGTTGTCAAAGAAAATTTCATCTCTCGGGAAACTTTGTTACTAATTGTATAATTGCAATTCCATTACACAATAAAGCAATTTTAAATAGGTTTTTTCATCATATGATATTATCTCTCTTATTGGAGAAGTAGGAGGATGGGCAGGGTTACTACTAGGATGCAGGTAGGATATAAATAATTTGTTGGTTATATTTTTTAAACTAAATTTTTTGTTTAGTGCCTTAGGTTTTGCATTTATGATCAGAGGAAAACTTGGTCAAAATATTGGATTCAGGATATTTCTTTGTTTCGTTATTGGAATGTCTGCTGCTATACTTTACCAGCTTACACTCTCAACACAGAAGCTGCAGAGTAACTTGATAGGAACTAATGTAGAATACATGGAAACAGATCCTAATCTTAACATCTCAATATCAATCTGTAATTACAAGAATACCTGGCCTATACACAATATTACAGAGCTTGAAGATTTTGATTCAATATTCCATAGAAGTAAACTAGACACTGATTGGATTGAAGATAAAGACACTATGTCATCTATCTTTATATGGATGGATGAACAAGATGTTATATATTCATGTAAAACAATGAAATTTACTGAAGAAGAGATTAAAATTGTTCATAGTCTTTATTCCTACGATGCTATTTTCCTTCATGATCCTAGCTTTATCACTGGGGGAACTTCTTTAAAGTTGACAGGACCAGGATTGAATCAGAACAGAATCCTCCTTCTCAATGCTAAACAGATTCAAAGCATAGAAGAAGATTATATTTGCTCAAATTCCATTGAACATGATTCATGCAGAGATGATTATATAGCACAAGAGTTTAACACTACATTTGGATGCATCTTATTTAATATGAAGTAAGAGTTCAAAATCAGCAAAACTATAATTGTTTTTGTTTTTGTTAATATCTTTGAATGTTAGAATATTTTTAAATCATATAAAAAAACCACTTAACCCTATAAAGACTGGGGTTCTAACACTATGTTTAACCTGGTGGAAGGGCTTCCCACAGCCCCCCCCCCCCTAGAAAAAGGCCTTAGAGAATAGTTATAGGGTTGAATTGCATGTACATAGCCCAATTTTTCAAGGCCAGCTCATTGAAAAAAATTAGACCGATAACTAAAAGTTTGGGATGCTACGGATGGTTGAAAAAAGGGTCAGAAAAAAAAAAAATTGTTTTAAACAAAAATCAAAGTGTGGCACATGTTTCTACATTCCTTTTTTAAAGGCCTTTTAAAAAATTCAGTTTTTAGATCTGTAACTTTAATCAAAAAAAAATTATGAGCCTTTTTTTAGATTTTTTTTAATCAGAGACTGGACTTTTTTCCACCCTGTTCCCTGTACAAAAAATCCTTTAAATTACTATTCATTAAAAGTCACACAATTTCACGGTGATAGTGTCAAAAAAAAACGCGCCTAAAAAAACTACAGGGGGCGCCAAACACCCCCCCCCCCTAGCCTGTTTAGGGTTAAATCAGTAAAACTTTGACTTGAAAAAAGCCAATCTTTGATGAGCTTCACATTATAAAACTGTAATGATTCTTTGTCAAGGAAACCAAGAAATGAATTTGAGAATTGTGTTCTGACAGATCCATACTCAGGAATATTGGCATCAATTTCAAATATATCAATTATTGAAAATTATTAATTATACATACATATAAAATTTAAAAAATGGAGCCAAATAAGAGTCACGGAAGTTTGTAGTAAGATTTTGACTCCACTGGAGACCACTGTAGGGATTCAGATATAATTCCAGGGAGGGAGGGAGGGATTCAGTGAAATTATAAAACCTCTGAAAATAGGGCTGGGCAAAGTTTCATTAACGAAACGGAGGTTTTCTAAAAATAACGGAAGAATCTGTTAACGAACAGCAAAAACCGTTAATTTTTATCTAATAAAACGAATTAGCCGTAATTGAAAAAAAAGGTTTAAAAAAGGATATCTGAATCCCTCCAGTGGAATTGCAAACCCCCTGTATAGATGTTTATATGAATCCATCCAGTGGAATTATAAACCCCCTGAATGGATATCTGAATCCCTACAGTGGGATTTTAAACAACCTGGATGGATATCTGAATCCATCCAGTGGAATTATAAACCACCTGAATGGATATCTGAATCCCTACAGTGGGATTTAAAAAAACCTGGATGGATATCTGAATTCATCGAGTGGAATTATAAACCCCCTGAATGCATAACTGAATCCCTACAGTGGGATTTTAAACAACCTGAGCTGGGAACTTTTGAATGGTGGATATCGGGATTAATGCTTGATCCACTCTTTTTCTTAATCTCACGATTAAATAATGCTTGTTCTCCTTTAATTATTAATCTCAAGATTAATTAAGCAATAGGGATTAAGGATATCACAATCTTAAGTTTTCAGCTCTGGATGGATATCTGAATCCCTACAGAAGAAATATGAAATAGTAGAAATAAAACTAAATATACTTGCATTTTTCTAAAAAAACAGATTGTTTGCCACAAACTCAAATTTCTATTTTCTATATCTTTGCAACCCGATATATCAAACTAAAACTTATTGATCTAATCAATTTCATAGTTTGAAATATTATGGTTATTAGAATTATTTTTAAGATGTCATTACCTTCTTCAGAGAAATATGAAGCATATAAAAATGAACTGACCAAGCTTTCTAAAAATGTGAAGCTTGGTCTAAGTAAATGTTTGCAACCCTGCAGGAAAACTATTCTGAATGTTGAACTGCTCTACAGTAAAATCAGGGTTTGTAATTTTACTCTTTACAATTCCAGTGTAATTATATTTAAATAATCACTTTTTTATAGAATTCTGCAAAGAAGGTTCTGATAATCAGGAAGCCCAGGAATATCCAGATTCTGAAGAATGAGTACATTTACACATTCTGGGAGTTTACCTCAGAGTTTGGAGGTTGGGTTGGAATACTCTTTGGATTCTGCTTTCTGGATATTTTCAATTTTGTCACTAAAATTTTCATTCTCTTAGTGGAAAATTATAATTCATAAGTATAACCAAGAAATATATAGACCAAGAACCGCCATATCTGATGCGTCAAATCTGTGTACTGCCCAAGGGTTGGAATAAGAATATGTTGCTATTGTATTTTCCATATTGACTAGAAAGCCATAAATCATAATTATTCCCTCTAAATTGGTATATTAACTTGTTTTTTGTTGGACTGTAATATCACATCAGAGCTTTAGTCCTTTCCCTTCAATTTCTGTGGGGGAACTGGGTTTGTTAACATTACTCCCACAGAGTACAGTACACAATTTGCGTATTCCTGAGTTGGGCATTCCTGCATAGTTCCTTAATGACAGGACTGGAGGTTTTTATAAATGATCAGATGAGGAGGTCAATTTTGCCCTGCAACATTTTTTCCATGTTTTAGGAATTTTGCTTTCTTTAGATTATAGATGGTTGTTTAAAATTTAGATCTATGAAGATAACACATTGATATCACTTTTTATTCATATTTTTAATATTTTTGCAATATTTTGGAATATTGTCTTCATTTGTTTGAAACTCACATGGTACCAAAAAATCCGCGAAACTTTTTTTCCTTCAAAATCGAAAATTAAGAATAACAAAAGTGTTTGAATAGATAATTGCAATCCAATTATGGATCGGTCTGACCTATTGAGAGATATATTCATAAGAATCTCCAACATTTTAATGAAATAGATCCGATCTGTTCAGTTTAACATAGAAATTACACGGTTAACATTTGCACAAAAATAAAAATGTCCTCTATTCTTTTGATGAAATTTGTACTGCTCTAATTTTTAGATCTATTATTGATAGCTTTGCTTAGAACTAAATTGGGAATTTTCCTTATACAATTTTGCAAATTTTCTCCATTTCCATGAGTCTAATTTTTATGAAATTTTAGGATTAGATAGAAATTAAACATTAACACATTTTTTCTTTTCTTCACTTTTGATTTAGAGAAGAATAAAGGTTCGCAATTTATTTTGTGGTACCATGTGAGTATTAAGAAAATTAAAACAATTTTTCAAATTAATGCAAAAATTCTATGCATAAGAATTTCATGTTTTTTTTAGATAAAGACTACACTAATCACACTTTTTTGACTCACCCTGTATATATATATATATATATATATATATATATATATATATATATATACAATTAAGTATCTAACAATCTGTCTGCCATTAAGGATTCGCACTAAGAATTTAAACAAAATGTACTGTAAACAACCTTAGATTTTTTGATGATTTGATCTGAATAAATTTCTTGAGGAGTTACCATAGACTATATAGATAGGACCAGTAATTTGTTTTGGGTAATAGTTGTATTAAGCAAACATTTTAATCATTAATGCTTATAAATGTTGTGGTGCATTCAACCATTTTTAGAAGATGAAGGTTTAAAAAAGAGATATGATGAGCTTATTTTAAGCATAACTACAAAAAGCAACAACTACCAATATTGTCCTGTCTGTGTAATATTTGGATGTGAATCTTCCTTTATCAGGTTTTAGGTTTCAGGGGCAAAATTCAATGGGGTGGGGGGAGGGTGGGGGAAATTATTCACTTAAAAAGATAATACTGAATCCATTATCTAAAACTAAGAAGTTTAATTATTAATTTTTCCCCCATTTCTAATTTCTTTTCACTCATCTCATCGAGGTATTACAGGCACCAACATGGGGTCTTGATATTGATATTGATTTCTGTAGTTCAATTTATATCTACCATTCTTTATAACTTGTCATTTTTCTTTTATCTTTAATCAATCTTTTATTTATATTTGTAATAAACTATTATATGTGCTAGAATTAGTATGTTCGTATACAACTTAGATTTTTTAATCTCAGGTTCGAATCTGTACATTTTTTAATCTCAGGTTCGAATCTGTACATTTTTTAATCTTAGGTTCGAATCTGTACATTTTTTCTTTTTTTTCTGTTTTCTAATTTTTGTAATTCTTAGTATTCCTGTTTGTTATGAGATATTTTGTGTATCTTGTAGTTTTTAGATCTTTGGAAACTTTATATAAAGTTTTTAAGTTACCCATTCATCTATATTTTTTTAATTCTCCCTATTGTTCGTTTTTTTTATAATATTGCAGTGTCTTTTATAAATGTGTTAACTATGCTTAAAATATATTGACGCGGTGTTGAACAGTTGAAGTCCTTGCATCAGCGACAAATTATTGGATGACTGTTGCCGCCAGCAGTAAAATTTTCACGTTTAACGAATGTCAAACATTATTCATTTTTGAATCGTTAACCCTATCCCAACTTCTCAAGAACTGATCATAACAAATATTTGACCTCTAACTTTAATTTGTTAGAGTGTAACGGATAAATTTTTAAACAGTTAAAAAAATATGTCGAAAATTTTTTCAAAAATAGTTATTTTTATTTTTGACAAATAATAACATTTGACACATTTTTCAAGGCCTTTTCAAATACATAAGTCTTAGTTCTGTAGCTCAATTAATAAAAAAGATGTTAACCATTTCTGATTTTTAACACACCGACCCGCCATTTCTTCACCCTACCCTAAGCACCAAAAAAATTTTTTTTTACCAAAATATGTTTAAAACTATTTTGTTTAAAAAAGTAAAGAAGTTTTAGCGTTCTAATGTAAGCCGTTTTTAATTTATTCAGAAGAAACCACGGGAGGGGGGTGGATAACATTGTGATAGGAAACCGATCAGCCGTTTTTTAAACAAAAATGAAATAGATTGTTTTTTTTTGGAAACAGGGCAAATTTTGTTCGTTTTATTGCTAAAATTTCATGAAACTTGCAAAAAAAAAAAATTTGATGTATTTTTAAGCTTTTAAATTTTGTCTTTATTGATGATGGATTTTAAAGATTTTTTTTCAATTTGGTGATGCCTTGTGCAATTTAATTAGCTGTTAAAATTTTTTTATTGAAATTTGGGAGTTTTGGGAAACCACTAACGCTGTTAATACTACAATCAACATTTAACAAACATTTTTTTGCTCTTCACCCAATTTCTAAATGGCTGATGGCCTTGATTGCAAAAAACAACCGTCAGCCCTATTCCTGCTGAGCCAATTTGAACCTCCCTCTTTAGTTTTTTACATAACCCAGCCTGTTGAAATTTTATGACTATTCCTAAATTTTTATATTCCTCCTGTACCGGGCTTTTTTACTTACTGCCTGAGTGATCAAGCTCACTGCCTAAATGACTATTTTTTCTGTAAAAAAAATAAATCTTTGTTTTTACCCATTTTCAGTTGTCAGATTTTGATAATTTTTAGCTTTTTAGAAGGACTATGACATAAGAAGGCCGATATCAAAAGTTTTGCAAATTAATTGCATACAACCTGTCAAAAGAAATTTGCACATTTTTAGTTATTCTTGATTACACATCAGGTTATTACAAATTTTGCAACATTTTTGCATATTTGGCATTGTCAAGGGCTTTTCAAAAAAGTATATTTTTTGGACATTTCTATTTTGCAAATATTTTTTCTATAATATAACTGGATTTTGTCGTAGAAATTAAAATTTTTTGTAGATTCTAAGAGTAGAGCAAAAGAGCTTTCCAATAATGTATTATTTGCCATATTTGAACATCAAACATGGGATTTAGATCCGCGTATCCTGGTTATTAAGTACCCCAGCAGGGATAGGGTTAACAGTCGAATATCTTCGGTTAAAGCATTTAATAAAATTAAGATTTTATATTAACAGTAACTTTAAATTTTTCTTTTACGGTTGGAACCATTTGTTAATGAAACTGATGGAAAAGTTGGATAATGGGCAGCCCTACTAAATGGTGTCACATTTAGCATCTTACATTTAATCTTATATGGTTTATGTATATATGTACAAAATTTAAATATATACTTTTTAAATCATAAAAAGGTGTTTTTGTAACATACAAACTAATCAGAGCTGGGAACTTTTGATTGATGTATATCGGGATTAATATTTGACCCACTCTTTTTCTGAATCTCCAGATCGAATAATGCTTGTTCTCTTCTTGTTTTTAATCTCCAGATTAATTAATTAGTTTTAAGCTCAGAGCTGGAAACTTTAGAATGGTGGATGTCAGGAGTAATGCTTAATCCTCTGTCTTTGCTTATCTCAAGACTCAAATAATCTCGAGATTATGTTAGTCTTAAGATTAAATGTTAAGATCAACAAATTTGATTCTAGGAACGCCAGATTTGTTCGTTTTCTTGGCTGGAAGGGCCTTCACTTAATTTCTCACCCATTTGTTTATTAATTCATTAGTTAAAATTGGTTAAAAAAGAATCTCAAACGTATTAGGACATATTTTTCTTCACCGATTAATTTACAAAATTGCCGACTGTAAATTCTATATTTGATAGAAATTGCGGATTTCTCTCATGGGATAGAATTTATTTTTATGGCTGTCATTGGTAAATACAATTTACGAACTATATTCCTGCACTCTCATTGGAGAAAACAATGTACGGATATTCACAGAGAGAGAAAAAGAGTGGTTTAAGGACTAAAATTAAAAGTTTCCACAGTGGATATTCGGATTAAGTAGTTTGTATTAAAGGTTATCCATTCTAAAGCTCCCAGCTCTGAGCTGAAAACTTTAGAATTAGATATCCTTAATCCGGATTACTTAATCTGAGTATCCAATGAACACACCTTTGATTTTCTTCTTAAAAACCAACCGAAAGCTTTTAAATTGCAGGCTCTGGTAACCTGTTTTTGTTGAATTGGATTATTAAAATAATCGATGAATTATTTTTTTATAGTTTTCATATTTGGCTGTAAAGATGCAGTTTGCAATTTAAAGTACTTAATTAAGTAAGATCTTAATTAAGATTTTAGTTCAAATGTCATAAAAATCTATAATTTAACTGCTGGCTTTATGTACTTTGAAATGTTTGAAATCCTTAATCTAAAATGTAAGTATCCATGATGGAATTATAATGCTTTTTCAGAAAACATTTAATCCTAAAATTTCCTCTGTAAAAAATATCACTTTTCAAAATGTAAAATTAAGAAACTCAAAAAAATACTTTTTTAAGTTAAAAGAGAGAGATTGAAGAAAGCATAATAAAACACGTTTTTTTCATAATTAACTAAACTTGAAGTTTCGCCAGATGTAGATTCTGAAAGCCTTTGGCCTAAATTTAGACTGTACTATCAGTCAAAAAGAAACCTCATCGATGAATGCACACCTTCTTTTCTTCACTTTCTTCCTTGCTATTGGATTCTACAAGGCTTCAACAGCCTCAAGGATAATAACAGCTGAGGAGAAAACAACAGCATCAAGGATAACAACAGCTGAGGAGAAAACAACAGCCTCAACGACAATAACAGCTGTGGAAACAAAAACAGCTGTGGAGACAACAACAGCTGTGGAAACAAAAACAGCTGTGGAGACAACAACGTCTGTGGAAACAACATCTGAAACTCTTTGCTGTCCACAGAAGGTGTTTTTAAATGTGACAGATTTTCCTGAATAATTTTCTTCCATATAGAGTGATAACCAGAAAACTCTGAAAAAGGAAGACGACTTTTGAGCAATACTTTAGTGTATTTGATTTTGCAACAAAGCAAATAGTTATCAAATCACTTACTAAGTAAAATTTTTCTGTTAACATTGCAACATTGCTGTGTCCCATGTACATTTTTCATTCATATTTAAAGTCTTAATTTAGTGTACAAGTCGTCTTCCTATTCCGGAGTTTTTTTTTGCAGGTAACCCACAAAGGATGAGACTTCAGAGATAATTGTACAGAATTTATACTGTCTGTTTCCTTATATTCACGATTTTCTGTAACTGAAACTTGTTTCTTTCTTTGCCTAATCATTAAATAAGCCCTTGATATAAAACGCATTATACTTAATTTAACCTTGGGCTCCTCATATTTTAAGAGTTTCTTGTCGTCTTTACCGTCTCATCTTTTGTGGGTAACCCTGTATATTAGAAAAGGTAATTAATTGATATTTTAAGGTTAATATTTGCTCAACCATTCCTGACTTTCGTAATTTTGATTTTAAAGCTTTTATTGATTTAGTTTAGATTTTATTGGTATTGCTGAACAAATCATTTCACATTTCACATTTCACATTTCACATTTCATATTTCACTGAGATAAAACTTACAATAAATGCAATATTCAACAATATTATCATTGAACTTTGTTTAAAAAAACCTACTCTGATTTTTTTTCAGGGTTTACAGCAAAATGGGGAATTCGTTTCGCAAAACTTTTGCATTTCATTTGTTGAAAAAAAGGAAAAAAGTTCGCTACTTTTTTAGACATGTTTTTCGAAATACTGAAAAAAGTTTTTTTTTGCAAATTAATGCATTTTCGGTTTTTATTCAAGAAAAATTTGGAAAATTTTGGTTTTTCTCAAAATATTTAGCAATTTTTCGTGCAACAGATTGACGCAAAATTTTGCAAAAAAATGAGCAAAAAGTTTCGAAATTTTCCGCAAAAATTTTCCCTTTTTTTCAAAACGTTTTTTGCAAAATTTGTTTTTGCTAAATTTCGCATCGTTTTCGCTTCAATTCTCTAAATTCATGAAACATAACAATCAAAGCCTAACAGTCTATATGCCTTACAGAACAATCTTTGCTATTGTTTTGAAAACCATATAATGACTCAAAATGACTTAGGAGGCCCTTCCCACTTTGGGATTTTTGGGAAAGCGCTAGAATTAGGTATAGAAGGTAAAAAATGAGCTTACATCCATCTGAAAAATTTAATGTTTTCCCTCTAATAAAGTAATTCAAAATTTAAAATCGCCCCAATTTTACTCTTTTTTTACTATAGATAAGTATTATGTATTTTACGTTTGGCATGTCTTCCCGTATGAAAGGCCATGAGACCATAAGACTACCTAAAGGGAGGATTAAAGTGCAAATAAAAAAAAAAATTTTGCGTCATCGCTGTATCCTGTATAGATGATCTGAGATAAGATTTTGAAAGCTTAAACCCGACTAAAACCCAAACTCGGGCTTAGATAGAACCCAAGTCAGGATTTGTTCTGATTTGACCAATGAGAGACTGTTTTGCAAGCTTTCTCTCTGTAGCAGACTTAATATGCCGTCATATCAGCTGTGACAAGGAGATGTAAATTTTGAAATTTCAAACTTTATGTAGATACATTATTTTCATAGTATGTTTATTTTATATAATTAATAACATTTTACACTACAAATAATTCCCCAGATTTTAAATGTACAAATATAAAGATTTTACAAAATTTACGATCATCAGTTGCTGAAGACTTGAACCTTAAAGAGAGAAAAACCCAAGATGGTTGGTTCTTACTAAACTCAAGGCCATCCAAAACCCGGGTCTTGACTTGAGCTTTACTTGGGTCTAAGCAGACGAAAAGACCGGGTTTAAGCTTTTAAAATCTCATCTCTGTTGTCAAAATACACAGTATCGAAATCCTTCCGTCTATTACACCCTGTTTAGGAATTTCATACAGCAATAAGCTTTCCAGGAACTCGTCAATCAGGTATTGGTTAAACAAGAAACAAAATTGAGGAATTTCCCCAGATTCTCCAATCATAGTGACTTTCTTTGAAGAATTTCCAAGGAATTTCTCGAGAATCATTTCCTGTAACTGATTCCTTGGAAATCCTGGTTACGAGAAATTCCTCAGAATAGCTGTCGACATTTTCACTGGATTTTCCTGTGAAAGATTCCTAGGAATTTCCGCGGATTCCCAGGAAAGATTCCGGAGAATTTCCGCGGATTTTCCGCAAAATTGTTACTTGGTTAGGGGCTTGGACTGAAAATTCCATTCAGTTTAAAACAATTTTCCATTGTTTGTTCAAGTTACAGGTTTTAGAATTTGTTATAAGCTCCATTCATTAAAATTTCCAAATGATTATGTTATGCAAAAAATGGGATAAAAATTAGAAGACAACATATAAAAACATCATAACCCTATAACAACATTAACAAATATAAATGTATAGCTTTTTCTTTCTATATGTTTATTGATATTTTAATCAGAACGTTATTTTGAAACTAATCCATTTGTTCTTTTTTATTTCCATAATTTTTTCTTCATGAATGGTTATATATAAGTGAAAGAGCAACAAATTTATCTGAAGTCAAAACATTTTTGTTGTGAATCACAAGATCAAACATTTTTCCCTTCGTATAAAATTAAAAAAATAAAATTTAAAGTCGCGCCATATTAAATATCAAGATCAAGCAATCAAAACAAGTTCTGACCCAAGGCCAATTTTTTGTCATTTCTTAAAAGCTCTAAAAAAGTATGATTTCCAACATAAAGTGTTTCTACCTTTCATTTCCTACCTTTCAGCTTTCACCTTGTTTTATACCCTTCATTACAGTCATTCTTTTTACATTAACTACAAAGATCTGTAAAAACTGAATTTATTTTAAGTACCATAAAAATAGTTTTACTCTAAGAGGAAAAAGAGGTAAATTTTTAAATCTTTAGAAAAGCTACTCTGCAAAACTTTGAAAAATGTGTGTGTTTATATTCTAATATATAATTTCTAAAATTTTCGTGTCGTCAATGTACTAGGTATATATGTTAATTTGATTATATTAAAAGAGAAATGTCTTACTTTTTAAAATTTAATTCTTAATGTACGCTACTGCATTAAAAAACTCGATTTTTGGGTAACATTTATATATGTTACTTCATTAAAGTTGATTGAGTAAGATTATCTGCGCGAAGCACCAAAATTTTTTTTACATTTTTCCTTTTAATGGTAATCATGGACATGGAGAATGTCGAGATCAAGTTACTTAACGGGGAAATGTGTGTCCCCAAGATTCTAGGGGGGGGGGTAATTACCCCTAATATTCTAGGGGGGGGGGGGTAATTACCCCTAGGATTCTAAGGGGGGCGGGGTAAGTAACCCCAATAACCCCCCTTATTTACCCCACTGTTTTGTTTCTATTGCAGAGGTTGTGAGTTATCCTTGCCTCACTAAAGTAACAGCTGCTCCTTACAACATTAACTCTGGTAATAAAAATAACAGATTTTGCCTCGTTCAAAATTTGAAATTTAGGAACTTATATCACAGCATTTACTATGTACATTGTACAATGATAATTCATATATCATAATTCAACCCTGAAAAAGGAAAAAAAAAGATAATTTAACTGGAATATAAAAAACTAGAGGCCGAATTTAAAGAATTTGAGCCGCGGCTTATATTTAAGCCACGGCTCAAATATGGTTGGTTCCACTTAAAATCCTATTCTTTGTTTCAAGATTTAAGCCGGCGCTAAATTGAAACCTGTATTTGGCGAATACAAAACACGGCTAAAATTCATTAAATTCGGACTCAGGATTGTTGGATCGTTTGTAGTTCTAGAATTTGCATTAATTAAGTGTCGCATTTTTAAATTTGAAGTTTTACAGCATGAAGTCCATGAAATGTTTTCTTTTGTTAGCTTTCACTGTATTTGATGGAGAAATCATAACATGTGGAGGAGTGTACAAAAGGTATTTTTCTACCAACACTCACGAGGGAGGGGGTGCAGAAGCGCAATGAGCCATGCAAAGCGTGGACACAGAATGGAGGAGGCACGGAGGGACAAATACGGTTTCTCATGGCCTGGAGGTAACTCTGCAAATCTAAAGGCTCGGAGGTCATTTTTGCGGGGCTCATGGCGCCTCTGCACCCACTCCCTATCTCCACTCACACATAGGGATCGGTCGTTTAACATTTTTTAAAAATAATCATTTTGTAAAAACGACAAAATAAAAATGAAAAACATAACAACCGTTGATGATGACACTTAGTTAACAACCTTCAATGACCATTCGTTCATGACAAATTTTGCTAATTACAATGACAAAATAAAACATTAATAAACTTATCTTCATGGAAAGAAATTAAAATGAACTGTCACAAAAATCAGATTCATTTGCGATTTTTTTTCAACTTTTTCTAAATTTCAAAAGAGTGGCTCGTTTCCAAAGCATAGTTCTTTAGAATAAACGAAAAGAAAAACAATCATTTTTAAAAATGATTGACAACCCTGCCCACACATGGCTTACATCTGAAATATGACTGAATTTGAGTTCAAATCTTAATATTCAGGGACGTGCAAGAGCTAAAGTGTAGGGGGCACAATTTTTTTGTGCACCCCCCAAAAAAATGTGCGTCCATAAAAACCCCTATTAAAGAAATATTGAAGCTTTTTTAAATTTACTAGGCTTTAAGAGCGCTTCCTTTTCTCTCTGTATACGCGCCCGCATAGAACAAACGACCCTGTTTTAGAGTCTGAAAACGACCCGCACGACCCCAAAAACTGGCGCCGGTCCGACTCTGTTTTAGTACTAATAAAAGAGTCGTTTTTAGACCGAAAAGACCCTGAATCCGTCTCTCCTCAAAACGGATGGGTGTCGGTTTACTTCACGG